GTGAAGGCCGCGTGGCACTTCCTCATGCCACGGTGCCACACCATTGCTGTGGCGAGCCTATACTTGGCACTTCCTCATGCCACGGTGCCATGCCATTGCTGTGGCGAGCCTACACGTGGCACTTCCTCATGCCACGGTGCCATGCCATTGCTGTGGCGAGCCTAGTGGCAACTGCCATCAGTGAAGCATGCGTGGCACTTCCTCATGCCACTGTGCCACGCCATTGCTGTGGCGAGCCTACACTTGGCACTTCCTCATGCCACGGTGCCACACCATTGCTGTGGCTATCCTCCACATATATCCTGCATTATAACACAAGAACGTCACTTTTGTTGAACATGTGCCATGTTGTGATGCACATGTGCCATGTTTTATTTCATGACGCATTCCTATGCAATTTGTTTCGCACATTTATGAACAATTTTTTTTCACTTGAGTCTCGAATTAATGGTTTGTCCACACACGACGCACTTTTGTCAAGTCTCAAAGATTTAGAAAACACCGCGTGTTTTCATGACTCATTTTATACTTGCGTCACACTCATGAGTCGTCCTAATCCCGATAGTGTGACGTTGTAATCCAGATAGCGTGACGTTGTAGTCCCGATAGCGTGACGTTGTAGTCCTGATAGCGTGACGTTGTAGTCCCGATAGCGTGACGTTTGTAGTCCCGATAGCGTGACGTTGTAGTCCAGATAGCGTGACGTTGAAGTCCCGATAGCGTGACGTTGTAGTCTCGATAGCGTGACGTTGTAGTCCAGATAGCGTGACGTTGTAGTCCTGATAGCGTGACGTTGTAGTCCAGATAGCGTGACGTTGTAGTCCCGATAGCGTGACGTCGCCAGGACGGACGCTCGCCTCAGCGCATCCGGCGCGACGTTGCGTCGTCTTCTCGCCGACCTCGTCGGGTCGCTCGACGTTATTACGGCTGTGGTTGTTTTCTTGTTCCTGATCATCCTGTTGTCGACTGTCATGTTGTCGCATGCCATGTTCTTAACAGTCTTGCAGTATCATATTTGGTATCATGTTATTCCTTGTCCAGTTCGGGGTTGAAGAAGTGGAAGGGAGTTTGGAGCGTTGGGGTGAAGAAGTGGAAGGGTGTTTGGAAAGTCGAGTTGTAAAAGTGGAAGGGCGGCTGAAGTGTGAAATTGAAGGGAGGTTGAAGTGTGTTGAAGTGGAAGTGAGTTTGGAGTGTTGGGTTGAAGCTGAAGAAGGGTGATTGGAGTGTTGTGCTGAATAAGTGGCTTTAAGTTTGGAGTGTTGGGTTGAAGTTTTGGAAGTGAGGTTGAAGTATTGGTTGAAGAACTTAACATGAGAAATAAGTAGTGTCATAGTGATAGTGGTGCTCTGCGTGCGACGGTATAACTGCGCATGCGCGTCGTCGTGTACGCGTGTCTGCAATGCTCGCACGTAACAGTGTTGCGAAAGTCAGCGTTTGCTACAGCTCTATTAATACGAAGTTTGTGTTCTTTAACGTTCTTGTTGTCGTGGCTCTAGACGTCATCGTGACGGCTTCGTTACGCTTTTACGTCGGCGACGCTGCTAACGTTACGGAATTGTTACGTCGCGACACCGCAGCAGCAGGATTAGCACCTAGGCCTACGCTGGCCACAAATAACTAGAAAGTGTTTGATACATTTCTAGTGTATGTTAATCATTTTAATTCAGCCAAAACTTGAACTCAATCTATACTTATACTTAACATAAGTACAGATTGCGAAAGATATACTTAAAATTTAAAAATGGGAGTTCATAATGGAAAGTTGTCTTTAGTTCTGTCAGTTCAGTCCACTGTAAAATAACGCTGAAAATATATTTACATTGTGAGAAAAATACAATTAGAAAAAAACCCTCGTCATCTGTGTGCGTCACGTGTCTGGTCTGCGTCGTGATTACGTTACCGTGACGTGACCGCGGTGAGCGGCGCCGCTAGTGACGTGTGACGGCGAGAACGTCGACGTTACCGCGCTATGCGTTACTGCGTCGTCATGGGAACGCGTTAGCGTTACTTTACACTCAATGGCGTTAGCGTTATATTGTGGTCACTGGAGTTAGCTTTTCGTTGCACTCCCTGGTGTTGGCGTTATTTTGCATTCACTGGAGTTATATGTGTTGGCGTTATATTGTGGTCACTGGCGTTGACTTTTCATTGCACTCACTGGTGTTAGCTTTATTTTGCAGTCACTGGCGTTGACTTTTCATTGCACTCCCTGGCGTTAGCGTTATTTTGCAGTCACTGGAGTTAGCTATTCATTGCACTCACTGGCGTTGGCGTTATATTGTGGTCTCTGTATAGGTGCTTGCAGCCTACAGTACACTTGGGCATCGTAAGGGTGCCATAGGACCTGCACCTGACGGGGACGCTGCTGGCGAATTGTCGTGACAAAGGCGCTTCAGCGGCGCCTGGCGAAGCAACCCTAACAAAATTTAGAGTCGCCCCAGCTTCTGGTAATCCAAATCAGAAGCTGCCGCGTCTGTAAATTTTCACTGGGTAACAAAATTTAGAGTCGCCCCAGCTTCTGGTCTGTCTCTTATACACATCTAGATGTGTATAAGAGACAGCTGCAAGCCCTACCGTCAGAGAATACCTTCAGGACTCGACGAGATTACTGAACGCAACAAAACACTTATAACAACAACAAGGTACCTTTAAAGATATTACGAGACACCGATAAAAATATTTGCTAACGATGCATTACAACAGCAACAATATCTGATGCTTTATTTCAAACAACACACAATTACTGAAAGACGTAATCTTCACTTCAATACAGATAATATTCCAAGCTTTATACTTCCATGAAATCGCCTTGTAGATCGCTCTAATGTATCAGTATCGGAGCAGCAGTCATCAAAACTCGATTCCACCTAGTTTAACAACCTCTCGAAGGACAATATCTGCTATGCCAAAATGCGATCATTACTCCTTACAAGGATCAGTTTCAATCAGATGGCACGATTTTCTAAGATTATTACTCCCATAATCTGATGTAAGAAGCTTTTCGGGAAGACACTTCCCTCAACAAATCTAGCGAGTGGGCGTGGTCGCATCTTTTCGTTAAATTTTACTTTAAATTTCGGGCCATACACAGTTTTCCCACTACCTTTGAATATGTATCGCTCAATTCGTCGTCTCTCTAGTTTCATTCTTCCACGCATCGAGTTCCAAACTAAGCGCATGGTTCGACCATTTTCCATTACTGCCGCTTTTCCTTAAATGACGATTGGAGTAGTGGGATACACTGAAATTAGTCCACACAGATGGTTTGGGGATGTCGAATAATGCTTCGGGGCTTCCATCTTGACTACCCAATTGTTGAGCGACTGCTGCATATCAACTTGCTGTTGAGTAGATTGAATGCCACCAATACTACCACTTTCAACAATTGCGTAGGATGATTGAGCTTCAACGCCGTCATTATTTTCATTGTAATTAAAAATGAACTCCCGCGTGGGAGATATGTTGCATGGACCAGAAGCAACTTTGAATGGTATAACTGGAGGTGAGGCGTTAGTTGATCGATGTCTCTCCCTCTCACTATTCTGTAAATCATTCGAAGAGCCAACCGTATCGTAACTCATACAGGATGCTCCATTTCCAAATTCTGATGATTGGGGCGAGTTCAAGGAGACTACTGAATGCACACTCGAAAAAAGTTCATTACAATTATTCTGGTCAGTCCCTGGTGTACTCAATGGATTATAATATTCTCCGTTCGGCATGAGCTGGGGAAGAGTCTTTCCGAAAGAATTGCTGTGTTGCTGAGACAGTTCAGATGAATTAAACTGTTCCAAACTCGTGATCTGTTCAAAATGAGTGTGAGGAACCTGAGATAAATGGGAAGGATATTCTTGAAAATTTCTCGATCCGTCTAATGNCAGCACCTCCCTGTCCCTGCCAGCACCTCCCTGTCCCTGCCAGCACCTCCCTGTCCCTGCCAGCACCTCCCTGTCCCTGCCAGCACCCGCCTATCCCTGAGGGGACATTGTTCAGGAGAGAGAGATACCCTCACATTCGCTCTCCCTGGAATGAACGAAAGTGCGGAACAAACGGAGAATGACCTACAGGTGGCAGTGGAATGGAGCGGCAGTGCAATTATTGTTTTTTTGCGGCAAAAAATATTAATTCTGAAACAATTAATACTGAAGATTAGAAGCGATTACTATCAAAGGGCAATGGGGCAAATTGCTCCATACCCGCCGCCGCCATAGCCACCGCCGCCGTCCGGTCGCAGTGGTCATTTTAATAGACCGGCCGTCGGGTCGCGCGCTGGGCCGCCTAACGGTGCGTCGCGTGTGCCGTGCGTCTGTGCGTGTACGTCGTTATCATGCGAGCACTGAGCGTATTCTATCTTATACGCAGTGTAGAGTGCGTTTTGGATTTGCGTATAAAGTGCGCGCTGCATCGTTCGTCGCGCACTAATACGCCGCACTGACCACAAAATAACATACAGAGCCGACGTAAGCTGGCCTATAACGCATTGCTTGTACCCATAACATACACAAAACTTACGTTAGCTGGCCTATCACGTAAAGAAATATAACATGTACTAAGCATGCTTTAGAACGAAAGGCGTCCATACATAACCTATACGAAGCCTGCGTACGCTGTCCTATACGGTATAATCACTAGAATGCATTACTCGATTCAAACAAGGAAACTAGTATAACCTAGCCTTAGCTGCTCAATATGTATGATAGGTGCGACACGTTTTAGTCGCATGGACTGTCGCACTATACATTATGAATCTAACCCAAATATACAGAACTAAGCCTTGCACAAAGAGAAAAATAATTTTTCACAGTCTATCCTAATCTATCATTAGCAAATACTCTATAAAGTACCGCTAGTGACGCGTTGTTGTATGCACTTAGATACATTATGAACTTAAACTAACTATACCAATCTAATGTAGCCTTGTAAATCAAGAACTGACTGACCTCACCTAGTCTAACCTAATCTACTTGGTACCAGGCTAGTGACGCTTGTTATGGTCGCAGGTGCTGTGGCATCTGGACATCTTCAGGCGGAGCTTCAGGGAACTCTCCGGCCACGCGTGCATGCAGGGAGCCTGCATCTTCTGTGCGCTCAAGGTACGTGTCTTGTCTTATGTATCCTTATCCTGTGTCACGTATCTCTTATCCTGTGTCACGTATCTCTTATCCTGTGTCACGTACCTCTTATCCTGTGTCACGTACCACTTATCTTGTCTATTCTCTTCACCAAAATGAGTTCTATGACTCGTTGTTAGTATTCAATCAAAACTACTAAATAATTGATATGAATTATAATAATTCGAAAGCACTTTAGAACTGGTGAAATTTTATGAATGACGAGGAAGTCCAGAGAAGGAGAATAGAAATTCTAAATTAACAATTGTATGAACAACCGGGAATTGTAGAAGATGAGAAAAATAACAATACAGAATCCCAATAGAAGAGATAAATAATAATTGTATGAAGATCTGCGAATTGTGGATATTTTATGAGATATTTTATGAATGAACGGGGAATTGTAGAAAAGACCAATAAGAATTACAAGTCACAATAACAGGTACGTAACGTCTTAAAATTTGAGATAATGAGGTAAAATACGAAGTAAAAATAGGTGAAATTTTATGAATGAATGACGTAAAGTGTAGAGAGAATACGACGAAGCTAGTGAGGGCTGGGAGACGACGTTTATCCCCCGACGTGGAGGGGGCGTACGCCCCCCGGTGTGGGGCTATGGAATGTGGTAATTGGTGTGGTGACATGTCATCACATTCACTGTTCTCTGTGTCTGTCGTCAAGATAACCAGTGTAGTAATGAGAACTACTGAGGACATTACTGTGTGACTTATATATACTTTCGTCACTATATACAAAAGCAGCCAGACGACATGTATATGTATATATATATCTTGCGCTTATATTCACGAGTGTAATATATATCACCACTCCTGTTATCTATGTAGATGTAATAAACATTGCAATATCATGTATCAAAACAAATATATCAATGAATAAATATATAAAAAAATTAAAAATAAATATATAAATAAATAAAGTTTTATCAATAGTTAGCACTTTTCTCGCGCGTTTACGTAAATCATTCGGACGACACGGAATTAAATCCAGTTCACATGCTGGTAGAGAAACGCACGAAGCGCGTCTCGTAGAGAATTTAAATGTAGAAAATCATAACCACTGTTTGACAGGTTCAATGCTCCTAACTTTTATTTTGACGAATTTGGCCCACAGTTTATTCCGTGTATATACAACTATACACCATGTATACTCACACAAGCCATACAAGATGCTCAGGCATAACCTGAATACTATTCAGGTGGCGGCCATCGCTTGCTGGACCCTATTGCACCCGGTTAAATGAGAGGCACTTTGTCCAAATATCGAAGCATTTATTTACTCTATGTCGAAATAGCGGTCATTTTCTGCAGTGTGTGTCATTCTGACCCAGTTTGACCGGCAAATTGATGTATCAGGGCTAGGTCCGCTCTCTGCTCGTGCTATGTGTAAGAAAGTGTGTCTCTATTTGTATAATGAGATCCATGTAGTTTTCTGAGTGCAGAGGTTCACTTCGCTCTATACTTTGTTTAATCGCAGCGCATGCGCGGAATAATATTGTGCGCGATCTCGCTGATATTGTGCGCGATCTCGCTGATATTGTGCGCGATCTCGCTGATATTCTTTATAGATGTTTTGCAGTTAATAATCCCACAGGCCACGCGAAGCGCTGAGACCGCGTTGTAATGTAACGATGAATTCGAGGGAAGACCTGCGCTTAAAAACCTGGATTTTTTTAACTAGCGCTGAGACTCAACTTGAAATTCGATATGGACTTGATCCGGGAAATTCAATGACTAACTCGAATCAAACTTTACAGTTTAACTGTTTAACTTAACTTAAAGTTTTACCAAACTAAAGACCTGGCAGGTAGTAGGCTCATGTTGAACTCATAATCTCAATAACAAATGAAATTAGGCGCCTGCGCTGCAACTCTACAATGAAGAAGAATTTCGTCTGCGCGCTCGGTAGGGCCAGCGTGTGTCCCGTAGTCCTGCGTCGTCGCGGTCGCCCACCGCCGCTTTCTCGGCCTCGTGTCATCGCCGCCGCGGAGAAAGCGGCGGGCCTAGCCAGGGTGTACCGGGTCCCAGTGCCGGCTCCTGTGCATTGTACCAGCACCGGACTGGTGGTACAGTGTACCGGCACCGGACTGGTGGTGCATTGTACCGGCACCGGACTGGTGGTGCATTGTACTAGTGCCGGTTCCTTTGCATTATACTGGCAACGGACTTTGTTATGAGTCTTCTGTATACATATACTGTATATGTAGTGTTCTGATGTTCCGCTTTCGGATTCATGCCGGTATCTTGCCTCGGCGACTGCAAGTGGTTTCCAGTGCCGGTACGGTGGTACCAGTGCCAGCATCGGTGCCAGTATCAATGCCGGTACCAGTGCCAGTACCAGTGCCTCCGAAACAGCGTTTGGGAAACTGGCTATGTTACGCTAGCAGTTCCCACAAAACGATCATTGATTTGCTTGATGATACTTGGTGAAGCTTACGGATAATTGTTGGTGATTAATGAAACCTTGCTTGATGATACTTCTGTGGCCGTGGTGATGGTCTCTGAGCGCACGAATAAATGATGAGTTTATTAAGAAATTGCTGCATTTCACTTCAGAAATGCGATTACCGTCAATAAGTGCGTTACATACCTTGAAGTGTTGCGTAGTGCCACTAAGCCTATGCCATGTTCCTCATGCCACTAAGCCTATGCCATGTTCCTCATGCCACTAAGCCTATACCATGTTCCTCATGCCACTAAGCCTATGCCATGTTCCTCATGCCACTAAGCCTATGCCATGTTCCTCATGCCACTAAGCCTATACCATGTTCCTCATGCCACTAAGCCTATGCCATGTTCCTCATGCCACTAAGCCTATGCCATGTTCCTCATGCCACTAAGCCAATGCCATATCCCTTATGCCATGTCCACCTGGCCTCTGACCCGACCTGATGGCCTCAGCGGACGTAACGCGGAAGACTTTCTCCCGTGAGGCGCTGATGCGGGGATTAATACGTCACTTGTGTTGGGGGGATTAGAGATCTCCTTGACTAACAATCAGGACAGAGAATCCCGTTTGCCAATCAGGGGAGAAAATCCCTTTGCTGATCATGGACAAACATGGCAGATTGCAATGGCAATAGAGAGCAGATATACAGAGCAGAATGCAGGCGATGAGAAAGATCTCGGGGTTGCAGATCACGTCTGAGATGCCCGAACAGAGGCGTCAGGTGCTCTGCATGACGCCATTTCTCATTTTCTTTGTGGGCGCCAAAACCTTTCCCTTCTTTATTCAGCCGTCTCCTCCCCCTCCTCTTCTTCCTCCTCCTCCTCCTGCTCCCCTTTTTCACCCCCACCTCCCCCTTCCTTCGAATTCTCGAACACCTTACCTTTGTGGGCACAAAGGGCAACTGTATTCTGGCATGCTCTTTG